ACCGTCCTTTACCTTAGATCCTGAGGCCTGGTGACAAGAAAGCCTAACCGCCCTAAGGGAGGGAGATCGAAAGACATATTACGATTCTCGCCCGCCTTATGGGGGATAAGCAGCTCCAGAGGTGATCCCGGGTTCGATTCCCACACCTGTCATTGACTAAATCTCTTGTATAATTCCATATTGGTCACTACATAATGAGTTGAGTTACATAAGTAACCCCTATCTCCTGCCCGTAGGAAGACAATCCATCATCATTATTATTGTTACCAGAGTCAGTTGTTGTTAGCAAGAATGGATGGTATTGGTATAGGATACAACAAGGAATTGTAAGGGACAAGATGATGCCAAACTATGATAACACTATATACTACCATCATCATCATCATGATAATCCTATTGCACAAGTAAGGTTACCTTCTAGTAGTACTCACCATTCGAATATGATTATGTAATATCAATAGAGTATAGATCTGCATATTAGGATTAGGTAGATTGTAGCATAATATTCGATGGTAGTAAATAAATGATGATGATGAACCATTGGTATTAGATATGGTGTATAATAAAGTGGGAGAGGTGTACTCATTAAGAGCTGGTAGTAGTAGTAGTAGTAGTAGCAGTAGTAGAAGTAGTAGTAGTAGTAGTAGTAGTAGTAGTAGTAGTAGTAGTAGTAGTAGTAGTAGTAATGAGTCGCTAATAATAGGATCACGTATTCGAAGTCATTGTTCATACCAGTATGGAGAGTATGATCGATCATAGTGATAGTATATATGTTGTTATTAGTAATAGATTTATTGTTACTCATTAATCATGCTACAACCTAGTAGTAGTATCAGCATGCCTCCATCTTCTAGTAACTTCTCACTTACTCATCTATCTAAGAATCATATCATAAATGATATGATACAACAAGTACGGTCTAAACTGATGATCACACTCAAGGTATTATTATTACTTATACTACTACTAAGGACTTGTATATTTAGGATACGAAGAGAGCCTCAGATGATTCTCTAGTAGTTGCAAGACCATTAGCTTTGGTAGTAATAGGTCTCATGAGTCTCATATACTCTATAGGTTGTTGTTCTTGTTGCTTATATAGATATTAGATTATCATGGTTTAAAGGTCCTATCCAGTTGTTGTACAACTACAGATCTATTAGAAGAAGGTAATAGGGTTTACATTAATAGTATTAATAGTAGTAATAATCAGATATTGGTATGATCGATCTATTAGAGAATGAAGAACGTGAGTTAGCAGTTGATTATGATGCAGTTTATCTAGTCCAACCTACACCTGTAATATAATCATTATTAATAACAATATTGCATATATATTCAGGATTCCATTGATCGTATAATACGGGACTTCAAGGATTATGATACTAAGAAGAAGAAGAAGTTCCGTCCTAAATACCGTTCTGCATTTGTATATTGTACAAGTCCAATGCCCAAGAGGGTTATGGATCAGTTAGCTTCAGTATCTGAGGTACTAATAGTA